CATTTCATCCCCCCCCCCACCAGCAAAGTGCTCTTCAGCCAGAGTATCAGACGGGAGCGGGAAGCCCTCGAAGGGAAGCAGTCTGGCGACCAGGCCCTGTTTCCCTCTCGGGAGGTTCGGGCCTGACTGCGTCCATAGCAACCGTTCTGAATAGCACCTCTGCCAAGGCAGCCCAGCCGGGCTGCGGGTCGCTGAGGCGAGCTTTCCCCCACTGGCTGGCCTAGGAGGGTAAGTGTGGGAAAGTGGCCAAGCTCCTGGTGCTAGCCATTCTGAATTTTTGCTATATGTTTTATGATAGTGTGGCTCATGTGACTCGCCTTAGAAAATAATGTTCTTTCTTTCTTTGAAAGCAAGCACAGGTGGTGAACATAAAAGAACATAACTCCACAACAGCAGCATCATTCCTCAACAACAGTACCAAATAATAGAATAATATAAACAGTGGCAAACATAACAGAAATGTATGGTGGTGTCATATAAAGCTCCAAAATAAAACCAGCAAATTCCTGTCTCAGGAAGTATATTTTTAAAGGCCTCTTTATAAAGTTCTGCCTTAGCAAGCTTCCTGAAAAGAAGAAGGCCTGGGGAGGCGCCTGGGGTCTGGCGTATATCCAGTGGAAGGGCATTCCCCAGGGCTGGGGCCACCACTGAGAAGGCCCAATTCCTAGTTGATATTCTTCTCACCTCTCTTGGTGTGGCCACCCTAAGAAGCAAGGCTTGGGAGGAATGGATGACGCTGGTAGTAGTTCAGGAGAGATGGTCTGACAGATACCAAGGTCTTGAACTGTTTAGGACTTTATATGTCAACACTAACAGCAGTGCAAGTGACCCAAGTTGAGGGAGAAATAGAGTGGTCCTGAGTTGGCTAGATAGGCGGGATATAAATAAATAAAATTAAATCAATCAATCAATCAGTCAGTCAATCAATCAATCTATCTATTCTGGATCTGCTTGAATTTTCATATCACCTTCAAGGATAACCCTGCATAGAGAGTATTGCAGCAAGAGATTTTTGAGACTATCAATCCATGCTGTCATGAATTTTCTGTCCAAATAACACCTGGGTTACCCAAGGTTGAGAACCACGTATACAGCTTGCTTGGTGAAGCAACTCACAATGCAATCTTATACATGTTTGATTAGAAGTAATTCCCTCTGAGTTCATTGTGTCTTACTGCTATGTAAGTGATTCTAAGATTGCAGATTTCTTACTACTTTCTTCATTTGTCTCTTCCAGATTGGCACATATTTTGTAATACAGTAGGACCCCTGTATCTGTGGGAAATTAATTTCAAGCTCCCTCACCCCATGCTGTGAAAAGGGGTTATAACAGTGAAGGTTATACTTAGCAAAAGAGGACGTGGTGGCGCTGCGGGTTAAGCCGCAGAAGCCTCTGTGCTGCAAGGTCGGAAGACCAGCAGTCGTAAGATTGAATCCACGCTACAGAGTAAGCTCCCTTCGCTTGTCCCAGCTCCTGCCAGCCTAGCAGTTCGAAAGCATGCAAATGGTGGGAAGGTAACGGTGTTCCGTGTCTAGTTGCGCTGGCCACGTGACCACGGAAACTGTCTTCGGACAAACTCTGGCTCTATGGCTTGGAGAGGGGGGGATGAGCACTGCCCCCTAGAGTCAGACACGACTGGACTAAATGTTAAGGGGAACCTTTACCTTTTATATAGTGGTGCCTCGCAAGATGATTGCACCACAAAATGATGAATATGGTGACTTTTTTTTGAGCAATGTTGTGCTTCCCAAAACAATTATTCCAATGGGCAATTTTCACTGGACAATGTTTAGGTCCTTGCCTCATAATTTTCACTGGAAAATGTTTAGGTCCTTGCCAAGACAGTTTTTTTTAACCCATTTCTCCCCAATTGGAACACATTACAGTAATTACATAAGACCTACTTTTTTATCCCGAAAAAGTGTATGCTGCTGGCTTTCCAGGGTCTGCCTCCTGGAAAAACACCAGCG